AACAGCTCTCCAATCATGCATAAGGGGAATTACCAATAGACTCCTGGCTGTCTTCAAGAGGGAGCTGGGCAGATACCAAAGTCAGTGCCCGATCAGCCAGGCTGTGGTTCATACATTGGATTGTGTGTGGCCACTAGTAACAGTCTGGCTGATAGGCCCTGATTCACTGGGAGACCTTGTTGAGGACCGGGCCATGGGGGTGTTGACCCCAGAACATCCTCCCAGTAGACTCGAAGTAGTATCATGAAATTGTAATAAATTTGGAATAAAACATTGCAATTCCATGCCCTGTTTGCTGGCAGGTAATCTGGTAGGGGAACAGCAGATCCTAGTTTGATTGTTTATTTGTGAATGGTAAAGAATCTTTTTCTGAAGGTAATGACACCAAAAGTACAAAATTTAATAGAAAACTTATGGGCGTAATTTACACATTGTCAATTTTGTCAATGTTAAGTCCTACTTTAAGCCAATTCCATTTCTCTTTTAACCAAATTCTTTACTGTTTCACTAGTATGCCTTTTGTTTCATCAAATGAGCTCAAGAAACCACTCATTCAACAATTTTAACCACCCTATAAAGTGCACAGAATTCAGTAATTTGGCCAATTTTACACAACTTAAAAAAATAGCAATTTAAAAATAGTCCACAATAAACAACGTAGACATTCCTGGCATTAAAACATTTCCTCTGTTCATTAATCTATTACAGTTGGTTTCCATTTGAATTCTTAATCACACAAAAATAGAAGATTTACTCTATTTCTTGGATAATAAAATATAACCAGAAATGATTAGTCATGGTTTACATTGTCTCAATAATTGAATCAGACCTATTGAAAGCCCATAAAACAGACTGCAGTATGTAAGAGGGGCCTTATCCATCCTAAGGAATGCCAGCAAAAATCGAATATTTCTGCTACTTTAACCCTTTCAGGGTCCAAGGCCCAAATCTGGAGTCACGCACCAGTGTCCAAGAATTTTCAAAAAAAAAAATTTGTTATTTTTTCTTATGAAATCGTAGAGAATCTTTTTGTGAAGGTAATACAACAAAACGTACGAAATTTGGTGAAATTGACGAAATTATGCTCTCGCGAATTTTGATGTGTCAGCGATATTTACAATCGCGATTTTTGCCGACTTTGACTCCCATTTTGGGCAATTACATTATTCCAATCACCAAATTCTTAGCTATTTTCACTAGTTTACTTAGTATTCTATCGATTGGAGCACAAGAAATCGCCAAGTCACCTGTTTTCAACTACAAAATAAAGGATCGGAAATTTTAATTTGGCCATTTTAACACAAAGTTCAAAATAATCCCAATTTCAAAATAGGGTCCAGAAATAAACAATGTAGGCATTCATGGCACTAAACTAACATTTCCTCTGTTCATTAGATTATGTTTGAGCTTTTAACAAATAAATTCCATTTTGATTTTTTATTCACATAATGAATTTTTATTCACACCAAAAAAAATAGAAATTTACGCTATGCAATACTGTAATAATGTATAAATATCATCACCATATTTGTGAATGTATATTAGACCCACCAGCTGACGTGTATTAGACGTGTGAGGTCGTTTGTTTACTCTTGAATATCGGCAAAAATTTAACATTTCCGCTACTTTGAGCTCAGTTTCAACCATTTCCAGTGCTAAAACCAATCAAAATCATCTCTATTTCTGTAATATGTCTTCCATTCTATCAAATGAGACCAAAAAATCGCAAATACAACTATAAAAAACATACGAAAAAACACTGCAAAGTTGCTGTTTTAATCGAAAAATCATGATTTCAGTTTTTTTCTCTCATTATACACAGTGTGCTGCAGGATCTGTTTTATGTGGTGCACACATACCACATAGATGTATTCTCTCATATCTAGGCCCAAATGTACCACTCACAGTTTATCAGAGTGAGCTGAGCTCATGGCGTAGATCTACGGTTTGGACACTCACCATAAAGCCGTAGATCTACGGGACGGACCCTGAAAGGGTTAAGCTAAATTTTAAGCTACTACTGGCTCTGAAAACAATCATATCTGTTTCTGTGGTATGTCATCCATTCTATCAAATAATAGTGGAACCTCTGTTGTCAATTGCATTACTTGTGGAACATATCGTTTTTCAAATGAGGAATTTGAGAAAAAATGTCCTGGTTTTTGTAAGTGCTCTGGTTGTTGATGGACATCACGAACGGAACAAAGCGGCTCGAGTCATATACTCACAGACTGTGCACTGGGCAATGAGTCGACAGTGTAGGTCTGAGGCAGGATAGTCACTAACTCGCATTCTGTAAACATCTCATGAGCTTTTGCTGTGCATCTTGTGAATTTTTGTTTTGTTATTTTGCAGTTTTGGTGCAGTTTTTTTATTGTGAGATACTGTATTTTGTGGCTTATAAGACATGGCTTGTAAGACCTGTTTTAGTTTCAATGGCTCAGCATCGGATGTAACTGGGAGAGCTACAGCTCACCTCACACCCCAAACTTGTAGCTTCTGTCACTGACCTTCAGTTTATAGGACACAGGGTGGTTTTTTGAGACATTTTATGGAAAAAAAACGTGTCTAATAATCCACAAAATACGGTAAGTCATCACGAGTCCAAAGAAGGATAAAGAGATGAAAGCAAGAAGAAAAGTTGTTAAAAGCACTATTGACTTTAAAAAAGTTAATAGAAAATATGAAGAAATTATTGAGGAGGTTGAAAAACTGTTTTGGATAAACGAAAAACAATTACACAGTGATAGTATTTCAGAGGCCATTATTTGTGAAAAAGCGATGGCCTGAAAAAAAAATGCTGAAAATCCTTCAAGGTAATGGAAAAGTGGCATGGGGAGGCTGCTAGTGCTGACAAAATGGCTGTTGAAAAGTATGTCACTGAATTCCAAGAATACGTAGAGGCTGAGGGGTTTGTCCCCCAACAAGTGTTTAATTGTGATGAGATATACTTCTGGAAGAAAATGCCCAAGAGGACCTACATAACTGAAGAGGAAAAGTCAGTGCCAGGACACAAGCTAATGAAAGACAGGCTCACTTTGTTATTGTGTGATAATGCAAGTGGGGACTTGAAATTGAAGCCCTTAATTGTTTATCATTTTGAAAACCCACAAGTTTTTAAGAAGAACAGTGCTGTGAAAAACAAATTGGTTGTAATGTGGAGGGCCAACACGAAAGCCTGAGTAACAAGACAGTTTTTTATTGAGTGGGTTCATGAGGTCTTTGCTCCCACTGTCAGAAATTAATTGCCACTCAGGGCCCTTTTATTTATGGATAATGCTCCTGCTCACCCTCCAAGCTTGGAAAACGAGTTGCTGTTGGAGTTCAGTTTTATAACTGGAGTTCATGCCTCCTAACACCACTCCTCTCATCCAGCCCATGGACCAGGTCATTTCTGACTTCAAGAAACTCTACACCAAAACACTTTTTGAAAGGTACTTTGAAGTCACTTCAGAAACAAATTTAACCCCTCATGGAGTTCTGGAAGAACTATTAAAATATCCCCATCTGCTTGAGGCTTATAGACAAAGCCTGAGGGAATGTGTCTTCCAGGACCATGCAGTCAGCATGTAAGAATTGTCCTGATTTTGTGGCAGCCAGGGATTTTGAAGGCTTTGAAGATGAGCCTAAGCTGGTAGAGGATATTGTGCGTTTGGAGAAGACCCTGGGCCTAGAGATGACTGAAGATGATGTGGAGTTGGTGGAGGAGCATAGAACTGAATTGACCACAGAAGAACTTCTAGACCTTTAGAAGGAGCAGCAACAGATTGCAGCAGAGGAGCTGTTATCAGAGGAAGAGGCGGGAAGGGATGATGTGCCCATTGCACTTGTCGAGCAGATGCATGCTGAATGGCATGAAGTGCAGGAGTTTGCTGATAAATACCATCCAGACAAAGCAGTGGCCATCCATCTCTCTAACATGTACAATGACAGTGTAATGTCTTAATTTAGACAAGTGTTAAAAATGGAGCCTCAAACAAACCTCACTGGACAGGTTTTTAGTGTGACAGAGAACCAGTGAGCCAGAACAAGGTGTTAGTGGTGAAAAGAGACAAAGAAGAGAAACAACAGAAGGACAGTTGCCCAACATATTAATAGAAGGTGACTGACTCTCCTAAGCAGTAATATACCCCTTCCTCCACCTCCTCCTTCCAGTATGCCGTTAGCTCTCTTCTGACAGGTAAGAGGCAGTTAAATTTTAATTTACTGTACAGTATTTCAGTTAAATTTCCATTTAGTATTCTTTTTTACAGTTTCCCTGTGTTGTATAATTTTATACATTGTTTTATGTAGTAGTACATTATTAAATGATTATACTACTGTATTGTCATTTTGGGTCTGGAACGGATTAATTTATTAACATTATTCTTGATGGGAAAAATTGCTTTGGTTCTCATCGATTTTGGTTGTCAAATCGGCATCTGGAACTAATTAAATTTGACAACTGAGGTTCCACTGTACCAAAAAGCCACCAATAAAACTATATAAACCATCTGAGAAAACACCTCAAAGTTGCTATTTTAAACCATACACATGATCACAGTTTTGTTTTTCCCGTCATGCACCATGTGGGGTAGGATTTTTTTTTTATGCTGTACACACTTGCCTCGCAAACCCATTCTTTCATATCTTGGCCAAAATTTACCACTCTCAGTTTATCTGAGAGCTCAGCTCGTGACGTAGAACTACTTGAGGGACCTTGGCATCAATGGCGTGGTTCTATGTGATAGCCACTGAAAAAGTTAAAATCCTAATAAAGATTTTGTTGAATCAGTAAGATGCATTTTTTTGGAATCATAAGGTGTAACTGATAATGTTCAATAAATTTTATATCCTACAACATACCTTTCTTTTCAGTTTACTTCGGTTCCAAACTGTATGAAAATTGTTTGGCTCAGATTTCTTTCCTTACATAATTGTAGTGTTTTTCGGTTATTTTGCTGCTTTTGGCCAAAGTTATATTATTGTCTTCATAATACTGTATAATATTACTTTGGCAGGTGCCCCTACCTGCACCGGACAGCAGGTGATACAGAACGAAGGTATCATCTTAGGTACTACAAGACTGGAATGTGTGTCCATGATACAGACTCACGGGGGATGTGTGTTAAAAATGGTCCTCACTGTGCATTCGCTCATGGTGTAGAGGATGTCAGGTGAGCTTCACGCCATCTTTGTTTTTTTTTTTTTTTTTCCAAAAAAAGCGACAAAGTGCTGCCCTCATCCTCTTATGTATATGTAAGCATCTAGTTTTTGTTTCTGAAGTGTAGTACTGTTCATGATGGGAATTATTTTCATTTTGTGAAATTGCATAAGGATTTTCAGATATTTTGCATGTGTATGGAAGCCATCTTTGCTCTGAGATTGACTCCTTCCTGTGGTGGTTAGGCTAACCTTCAAATTTGGTACTGTACTGAAGAAGAGCTATGACTGGGCAGCATGCTGAAGACTGGACATCACAAGCAAAGCTCAGCTTGTGAAGCTACAAACAGATAATCATACATTAGGCAAGGTGGAAGAATGGCTGCTGATCTTGAACCTTAACACAGACAATTCTTTTTATATATTAAATATTTTAAGGAATGTGTTTAATAATAAGGAATGTGTCTAATGGTAGTCTAGGCTTCATAAGTTATTGACTGATTTTTGCCTATATTTTTTTTTCTTTTCTGTACAATGCTACAGTGAAGTTAAATTTATTAATCCTTTTTGATCTAGGTAATAGTTTTGAAGTTTTATAAAAGAAATATAGATATAATTCTTCTTAATCCTAGTGCATTAGTAGGTAACCATAGTTTCTCAGTTTATCATGCATGATTGATGCATGCAATTTTTTAACATCTTATAACAGTATATACTTAAATATTAAATAAAATAGCCTTGTGAAAGTTTTATTATTCATGCTTTGCATAAATAATTTTTAACTGTTTAAATAATAGCCAAAATGGCTTTGAGAAACTGCAAACTGCTGACTTGAGCACTGTTTAGAGAAACTGTGTTAAAGCCTGGTGTATCAATAGCAGCTTTGTTTATACAAATCATATTAGCATTCATACTGATAGTCTCATTATCACCAATATATTTCAGCATATGAATCAACCCTTTCACTGTCACAACCCCTGAAATTAAAAACGTTGACAGTGTTGTGATTTAAAAAAAAATACTGTAATTTTATTTCTGAAAAAGTAGAGAATCTTTTTTTGAAGGTAATGGCAACAAAAATACAAATATTGATGAGTTTTGAGTTTTTCTACTCCTAGAGCTCAGCCTTGGGCCTGGCTCATCTTGTGCTTTCCTGGTCAACCAGGCTGATGATGGTGGCAGCCTGCTGGCCCACATATCCATCACAGCCTGGTTGATCTGGCTTCTGGGGTCAAGTGCACTCCTGAAGACTTCTACACTTGTCTCAGCAGTTTCTAATATCTTCTGGTAAGATGTTGATACATTGCACCTCCTCCCATATTTCTCATTTCAATATGTTGTTATGGCAGTGTGCAGATTTGGTACTAGGAGCTCAGGTACTTTCCAGTTACAGTGGGCCCCTTGAGCTATGATGGGCTGAAGTTAATGATAATTTTGAGTTATGATTTACCCTCGTAGAGGAATTTAGTTTTGAGTTGTGATGAAAGCTTGGAGATGTGCTTACGATGGTACAAATGTTGAGAGTCACATCCTGGGGAACAAGAACAACCTAGGTTGCCCAAATTTCTATGCATAACCAGGGGATTTCTGTATACAGTAGTATGCCAGTGATGTCGGTTAGGTCTATAATGTAGTTGCATCATGTACTTGTCGATTATTATTATCGCTGTATTATCACTGATAGGTCTCGACCAACCAGTGATGTGGTAGTTTACCTCTTGGACAGCATTTGTTCCATTAGGAGTGTCAGTTCTTGTGTGGGTGAGCCTTAGCCAACCATCAATGCAGTAGCTTGTCTCTTGGACAGCTTCTGAGCCAGTAGGGTCTGTGAGGGTGGCTTAGCAGCCAATCATCAGTGGGATTGAATGTCTTTGGTAGCATCTCAGCCAATGGCAGAATTGGTACTGGACTATAGTTTGCTTACTCGTCAGTTTGAAGCTACCATGTATTTTTTCCACACTAACTCTGGATTATTTACCCTTCATAACTACAATTATGTTTTAATTTTACCATCTCTTGCATTACCAGACAATTTCTCTGAAGATCAAGCAAGAAATTGCACAATGGTGTGTGAGTATGGCTTTCCACAAATAACCATCCCTACCATTATCCAGCAAAAAGAAATAATAAAAAATGTTAAATGGCTAGTGAAAATAGTAGGCAGAGAAATTATCATAAGAGATGAAAAGACTGTTGTAATTGTGGATAAGAGAGAATCGTATGAAGGGAGATACAGTGCCTCCAACTTACATCTGCATGGTATAACAGCTGGTATAAACCTTGGAAATTTATACCGACAAATTGGTTTAAGATGTGCAAGCAAACATTAGGACATATTTACGTATTAGGAAAAGTTTGTCCCAGGACCAAACAGCTTTCTAATAAGTATATCCTAGTGCTTGTTCATTGTCTTTTTAAACCTCAGTAACAGTTGCACTTCCAAGATTTTGAAACAAATTATCATAAAACCATGTCTTTGGGTTTGACTCATGATAGTTTTGAGGTAGGATATGTTTTCTGGAGTGCATTAATGATGAAAGTTTTTTTTTTATTTCTTTTTGGGTTTTTCTTTTTTTTTTGGGTCACCCTGCCTCGGTGGGAAGCAGCCAATGTGTTAAAAAAAAGAACTTAATATAACTCATGGTACGACTGTGTATATTATCAAGTATCTCTCCACTCCAGTGAGTACATATTTAGGATTTTGAGGCATTCCCAGTAATTTAAAATGCTTTGTTGTTTCTGAGGTCCATAAATGATCTATCTGTTCCAGCTCTGATATCTCTCCTGCCCAGAATGAGATTGTCAGCACTCAACATTATTGTTATTTGAAAAGTGTCACCATTGTGTCTGTCTGTCTGTGCCTGATATATGTATGTTACTTAACTGTACTTGCCAATGTGCATGAACCCTTTCACTGTCCATCACATAGATCTACATTGTTTATGCCAGGATCCCTCATGTAGATCTGTGTTTTGAGCTGAGCTCCATCAGATAATTTGTGAGCAATAAATTTTGGTCTAGATGTGAGAGAATGGATCTTTGCACAGTATAAAAAAAAAGCCTTCCCCATGCAATGCATGATGGGAAAAGCAAAACTCTGACCATGTGTTTGGTTTAAAATAGCAACTTTGAGGTGTTTTCTAGGATAGTTATAGTATTACTGGATGTTTCTTGGTATCATTTGATAAAATTGAACATAGGCAGTTCAGACAGATAATTTTGGTTGGTTTCATGACCGAAAGTAACTTATTCTTCCGAGTACAGGTAAGGCCTCCCTCCCCCTCCCCCAGTCTGTTTTAGGGGTTTTTACTGGTCTGATTTGGTTATTGGGACCAATCATTCCTGGTTATATTTTATTATCCAAGAAATAGGGAAAATCGTTTATTTTCTTTGTGTGTGTGATGAATTCACAATGGAAGGCAGGTGTGATATAGGAGAAGCCTGGGGATATGATTAATGAACAGAAGAAATGTTTTAGTGATTGGTGTTTATTTTGTTTTTAAATTGGAATTTTTTAAATTTTTGTGTAAAATTGGCCAAATTACTGACTTGTGCACTTTGTGAGGTAGTTATAATAGTTTCTTCTGCTCAGTTAATAGAATGGAAGGCATGCTAGTGAACTAGCTAAGAAATTGATTGAATTGATTAATAGAATTGGCTTAAATTAGGACTGAAGTGGACAAAATCGTTGATGCGTAAATTTGACCGATCTCAGATTGTGAAGGACCTGCCTAGTATGGACCAACAGGCCTGCTGCAGCGTTCCTCCTTTTTATGTTCTTAGGTTCTAATTTTGTGCGTGCATACTTTCGTGAGCTTTCCGTCAAGTTTTGTACTTTTGGTGTCATTACCTTAAAAAAAGATTCTCTACCATTATAGAATTTTTTTTTTTTAATGTGTACACTGAGCAATTTTAATTTGGGGGATTGTGACAGTGAAGGTGTTTTAAGGAAGTATCAGTTAATCCTGCACCTCCTTTGTTAACACCACTACACCACTTGTCTCCCATCAAGGTAGGATAACCCAGAAAAGGAAACATATTTGTCATCATTTATTTAATAGTTACCTTGCCAGAAGCATGCAGATATCACAGAGTGCAAGCACTATTGCCTCCAAGACTGAGTTCGGCAAACTGGTTTCCCTAAATTCCTTCATAAATGTGTCCTGAAGAATATTCTCTTTCCTTAAATATTTTCTTGATTCTTGACAGTTTGACTGATTAGTGCCTGGTGGGATTTGTAATGGAGATGAAAGTTTCATTGTCAGTTGACATGAGAGGATTGATGAGACTAGTTGTGATTGACAGGGGGAAACTTTATTAACCTCATTACCAATGAGTGAGCAAGTAATGGGGATATTTTCTATTTATTGAGGCATAGTTACCTTAGTTTATTGCAATACTCTAGTTTCCTGACCCAAAGATAGAGTTAATAACCCAGAGATTTTAAAGGGTTTTTGCTGTGGCATAGGGGTGTTTTTTGCAAATATCTTTGTTATTTGAAATTTGAATAAGCTAAAAATTTTTTAAATCTTTAGAGTTTTAGTTTTTCACAACTTTTGGAGGTAGCAAAAAATGATTAATGTTTCAGGGTTAACTTCAAAGAAAATGAAATACCTATCCCCCATTTTAAATTTCTAGGCAACCCTTTTTGCCACCCTTTTTTGCCCTGGTTTTTTTAAGTTTTTTCCCGCTATGAGTTGAATATTTTTGCTCCTGAAGAATTATACAAGCATCTTGACAATTTTTTTCTTAGACGATTGTTTTCAATGTAGATTTTGCAATCTCATCTGGGGATGAAATAAACCTGCTTATTTTTTAAAGGGGAAAACATTTTGTTTGTGACAGGAAAGATTGAGCTTTTTTACTTGTTTCTGTAAAGCTTTTTTTTAGACCAAATTTGCTCACATTTCCACAAATGGAACTGGACAGAACACACACATTCGAGTGTAGGTTTTACAAAGTGGTATAATTTTGATGTCAAAGGAGAAAAAAAGACTACATTGTCTTGATCTTC